CCCGCCTGAGACTTCCTTACAATTTAGCCAAGACCCCCGCTCCAACCCGAGACTTCCTCGCATTTTATTCAGGGATCGCGCTCTCGCTTGGGATTTCCTTACAATTTATTCAGGAATCGCTCTCCCGGCGCTCTGGAGTGGCGCTTTCGCTGGAGACTTGCTTGCAACTTATTGAAGGATGGCCTTGCGTTGGAATTGCTTGCAATTTGCCCAAGCGCCGCGCTCCCGACACCCAGGCACCCAGGAGTCGCGCCCGTTGTGTATGTGCGTGCCCTTCGTGGCCCCGCTGTCGCCATGTGTGTCCCCCTCACTGCCTACGTGGCCCAGTTGCTACCTTCAGTGGCCCCATTGTTGCCTTCTGTGGCCCCGCATGATCTGCACTTCGTGGCCTCCGCTCGTTCGCACTCTTCGTGGCCTCATACGCATTCCCTTCGTGTCCCCGCTGTCGCCCTTCGTGGCCTACTCCGTGCCCTTCGTGGCCCTGCTGTCGTTCTCTCTCGCTCTCGCTTTCGCTCGTCGTCGCCGTCGTCGTCGTCGCCGTCGTCTTCGACGTCGTCGTCGTCGTCGTCGTCGTCGTGGTCGGTCCCCTGTCCGTCCCTCTTGGGGTCGGGTCGACGGTCCGCGGCCGCCCCGCCGATCAGCGCTGCCGCTGGCCAGGCCGACGGTCCGCGGCCGCCCCGCCGCTTGCCGGGGCCCGGCCTGCAGGGAAGAAAGGTATACCCCCCAAAAGGGGTTCGATCGAAGACGAAGAGGGCGGGTATCGAGGGTTTGGGAAATACGCGTTATTGGACACTCGAGCATACAAGGGCGAACAGTCTTACAAGTATTGTTGTTGGTGTTGTTGCTGCTGTTGTTGCTGTTGTTGGTGGTGGTGTTGCTGTTGTTGTTGTTGAATACTCATTTCTAGAGAATGAATACTGTTAATCTCCGAAAACGGTTCCGGGCGTTATCGCCTCGACGCTGGCTACATTTTCTCTGAAAACGAGGCTCCCGCTCGAGCGTTGGCTTGACCCTAAAAATGCGCCCTTGAAGGCCCAGCTACGACAACAATGGCCCCCGCTCAAATTTACTTCGAGACACCCTGGCCAAAGAGGCCTCCGAACTCACGAACGGCGCTCTCGCTCGAGACTTTCTCGCAATCCAATCAAGTTGGCGGGGGCCCAGCCACGACGACAAAGTCTTCTGCTCGATGTTTCCTCACGATCTACTCCGAGAGCCCCTGGCCAGGAAGGCCCCCGAACTCAGGAACGGCGCTCTCGCTCGAGACTTCCTTATGATTCAATCAAATTGGTGGAGGCCCACATGCGACGACAAGGGCTCCCGTTCGATACTTCCTCACGATGTATTCGAAAGGCCCTTGCCCACCGAGGTCCGGGCGCGCTGCCCACTGAGGCGCCCAACACACAACCCACTGAGGCCCAGAGTAAGCCCACAGGGACCGTAGCATGCTGCCCGCAGAAGACCCCGCGCGCTGCCCACATAGGCGCCAAGCGCGCCCACAGAGGCCCCCCCGCGTTGCCCATAGAGGCCCCGAGCGCGCCCACAGAGGGCCCAGCGCGCTGCCCACTGGGTCCCCGACACAGCCCACAGAGGCTCCAGCCTGCAGAGGCCCCAAGCGCGCCCACAGAGGCCCCAGCGCGCTGTCCAATGAGGCCCTCCGGCACAGCCCACAGAGGCCCAAACCCCGGCCCCAAGCGTGCCCACGGAGTCCCCCCGTTCCACAGAGGCCCCCGACACAGCCCACAGAGGCCCCAGCCCACAGAGGCCCCGAGCGCGCCCACAGAGGACACCGCGCGCTGCCCACTGAGGCCCTCCGGCAAAGCCCAGAGGCCCAAAGCGCGCCCACAGAGGCTCCAGCCCGCAGAGGACCTAAGCGCGCCCACAGAGGCTCCCGCGCGCTGCCCACTGAGGCCCCCGACACAGCCCACAAAGGCCCCGAGCGTGCCCGCGGAGGCCCCAGCGCGCTGCTCACTGCGGCCCCCGCTTCCTACAGAGGCCCCACACGCGCCCGCAGAGTCTCCTGCCTACAGAGGCGCCAAGCGCCAAGGCCCCCGCACGCTGCCCACTGAAGCCCTCCGGTACAGCCCACAGAGGTCCCAGCGCGCCCACAGACGCCCCAGCCCAAAGAGGCCCAAACGCGCCCACTGAGGCCCCAAGCGCGCCCACAGAGGCCCCAGCGCGCTGCCCACTGAGGCCCCAGCCCACACAAGCCCCGACCGCGCCCACCGAAACTCCAGCGCGCTGCCTACTGAGGCCCTCCGACAACGCCCACAAAGGCCCCGCGCGCGCCCACAGAGGCCCGAGGCCACAGAGGCCCCGAGCGCGACCACGGAAGCCCTCGCGCGCTGCCCACCGAGGACTCCGACACAGCCCACAAAGGCCCCAAGCGCGCCCAGAGTCCCCCGCGCGCTGCCCACTGAGGCTCCCGACGCAGCCCACAGATGCCCCAGCCCACAGGGGCCCCAAGCGTGCCCGCAGAGGTCCCAGCGCGCTGCCCACTGAGGCCCCCCAACACAGCCCACAGAGGCCCCCGGCGCGCCCATTGAGGCCCCAGCCCGCAGAGGCCCCAAGCACGCCCACGGAGGCCCCCGCACACTACCCACGGAGGCCCCCGACGCAGCCCGCTGAGGCCCCCGACGCACGCTGCCCACAGAGGCCTTAGCCCGCAGAGGCCCCAAGCGCGCCCACAGAGGCCCCGGCGCGCTGAGGCTCCCGACGCAGCTCACAGAGGCCCCAAGCGCGCCCACAGAGGCACCAGCGCGCTGCCCTCTGAGGCCCCCCGACACAGCCCGCAGAGGCCCCGAGCGCACCCACAGAGGCCCCCGCGCGCTGCCCACTGAGGCCCCCGACGCAGCCCACAGAGGCCCCAAACGCGCCCACAGAGGCCTTAGCCCGCAGAGGCCCCAAGCGCGCCCACAGAGGCCCCGGCGCGCTGTCCACTGAGGCCCCCGACGCAGCCTACAGAGGCCGCAGCCCAGAGGCCCCAAGCGCGCCCACAGAGGCCCCAGTGCGCTGCCCACTGAGGCCCCCGACACAGCCAACAGAGGCCCCACGGGCGCCCGCATAGGCCCCAGCCCACAGAGGCCCCAGCGCGCTGCCCACTGAGGCTCCCCAACGCAGCCCACAGAGGCCCCAAGCGCGCCCACAGAGGCCCCAGCCCGCAGAGGTCCCAGGAACGGCGCTCTCGCATGAGACTTCTTCGCAATTCAATCAAATTCGCGGATGCCCAGCCGCGACGACAAGGCTCCCGCTCGACATCTCCTCGAGATCTGAGAGGCCCTGGCCAGAGAGGTTCCCAAACTCAGGAACAGCGCTCTCGCTGTAGACATCCTCGCAACTCAATCAAATTAGTGGGGACGCAGCCGCGATGACAAGGGCTCCCGCTCGATGCTTCCTCGCGATTTGCTCCGAGAGGCCCTCACGCGTGGTCCATCCTTCTCTTTCCCCGTCCGTCCTCCCTTCCCCTGTTTTAGGGGGTGCGCTAAACATGCGCGGCAGGTAAGGAAGATATACCCCCGAGGGGGTACGGTCGAAGGCAAAGAGGGCGGGTATCGAGGGTTTGGGAAATACGTGTTGCGTCACACGCGATGAAATAAGAACAAACTGTTGTAAACTGATTGTTGTTGTTGTTGATGTTGTTGTTGGTGTTGTTGGTGTTGTTGGTGTTGTTGTTGCTGCTGTTGCTGTTGTTGTTGCTGTTGTTGTTGCTGTTTGTTGTGGTCGTCCCACCCGCGACCCACCCGCGACCCACCCCGCGACCCACCCCGCGACCCAACCCGCGACCCAACCCGCGACCCAACCCGCGACCCACCCCGCGACCCACTCGCGACCCACCCCGCGATCCACCCGAGACCCACCCCGCGACCTATCCGCCACCCACCCCGCGACCCACCCGCGACCCACCCGCGACCCACCCGCGACCCACCCGCGACCCACCCCGCGACCCACCCCGCGACCCGCCCGCGGCCCACCCGCGACCCACCCGCGACCCGCCCGCGACCCACCCGCGACCCACCCGCGACCCACCCGCGACCCACCCGCGACCCATTTGCGACCCACCCGCGACCCATCCGCGACCCATCCAAATTGGTCTAACGAAAAGATCGGCGCCTGCGGCGGGCTCGCTGCACACTTTGTGACATTTCGGCGCCTGCGGCGGGCCTCTCCAGAGTCTCGCAAACTGCCGACCTCCCCACCGCCCCCTCACTCAGGAGGCCCGCTGGAGGGCCTCTGGAAGCACATTGAGGCCACCCCTGCGCTCCTCCCAGGACGCCCCAGGCGCCCCAGGCGGCCCCTAAAGGCACCAGGAAGCCCCGTGAGGCCACCCCCGGGCTCCTCCCAGGAAGCACCAGGCAGCCCCGCGAGGCCACCACGTGTGCTCCTCCCAGGAGCACCAGGAGGCCCGCGGGGGGGCCTCTGGAAGCACACTGAGGCCACTTCTCCGCATCTGCGGGGGGTCCCCGCGGTAGAAGCATCTCTTCGTCCCCGGCCGCCCGCTGACGGCCCCGGGGGTCCAGAGCGAGAGAGGCCCCCCAGAGGCCGAGCGGCCCCGAGGTCCGACCTCGCGAAGCATCGGCCGAGAGACTGCCGCGCCGCGGAGCATCACGACCCGTGGCTCTGGGCCCCGTTGTATGTCGAAAGCTGGGCGAGGGCTGCTAAAACCGTGGCTGCTCAAACGGCCCTCCCGAGAGGACAAGAACAGCTTCCCGGCATGAGGCGCGGCACGCGAAGCAGTCAACGGGCTTCTTCCCGGAAGGACGAAGACAACTTCCCAGAGGTCGGTTTTTGCAGCCACGGATTTAGCAGCCCATGCCCGGCTTCCGAGTAAGGCTGCATGTTTCCAGCCCGATCGATCTGTGAGGGTCCCAGGACCACAAAAACCGGGCGAAAATGCCTGGCGCGAAGAGACATCAACGCTCAGATTTCTGGAGGGGGAACACTCTTGTCGCGACTGCCTCACCACGCAGGGATTCTGAGGAGCCCCCTGGCCCGCGGCGCTCCTCGACGACCATCGGCTCGATCGTGAAAGCGTGCCCAGGCTGCATGACGCCGCTGCCCAGGAGCGGCCACTCCTCGGTCGGCGCCGCCGAGCGGTGTCAGCGCCAGGCGACGACGACGACGACGACGACGACGACGACGACGACGACGACGACGACGACGACGACGACGACGACGACGACGACGACGACGACTACGACGGCGGCGGCGGCAGCGGTGGCGACGGCGGCGGCGGTGGCGCCGCCAAGCGGTGTCAGCGCCAAGCGACGACGACGACGACGACGACGACGACGACGACGACGACGACGACGACGACGACGACGACGACGACGACGACACGGCGGCGGCGAAGGCGGCGGTGGCGACGGCGGCGGCGAAGGCGGCGGCGAAGGCGGCGGCAGCGGCGAGGGCGGCGGCGGCGAAGGTAGCGGCGGCGAGGGCGGAGGGCGGAGGGCGGAGGGGAGGAGGAGGGGGAGGGACGAACGGGAGGAGGCAGGGGGAGGAGGACGGACGAGGGAGAGAATGGAGGAGCGAGGGGAGAGGAGGAACGAGGAGGCGGAGGAGGAGGAGGAGGACAGATGGGGGGGAGGAGGGAGCGAAGAAGACGAGGAGAGAGGCAGAGGAGGAGGGGGAGGAGGAGAAGCACGGATGTCGGCTTCGGGGCCAGGGACCACAACAAAAAATTGAGACGTAGTGACACCGAAAAAAAGTCGACAGCTCTGGGGCAGTTGCTTGTGTATATTACAGATGTGCGCACGCCAACGTAGAATGTATGTGTGTATGCGCTCGTGTGTTAGCCGGCGTGGACCCCTCACAGAAAACCATGGCACTGTGGATGTGTAAGCTATGTGGTGCAAGCAATGTGGAATAAGCTACGTGGCGCATGTATACCCACTGCAAGCTAGCGTTAAGTCGGGCCTGTCCCCCGAAAATAAAAAATGCCACAAAAATAATCAAAACATTGTCGAAAAATGGTATGGGGACTATTTTTTTTTTTAAAAAAATACCTTTTGGGGGTATTTTGGTGGTATTGCTTATTTTTCGCCGAAGATCCCCCTGTAGGGGGACACGCCCGACTTAAAGCCAGCGGCGGCAACGGGGTGGCCACGGGCGGCAGCGTGGCGAGACCCCACTCGGTGCACGAGGCGGCAGCGAGGCGGCAGCGAGGCGGCAGCGCGGCGAAACCTCGCCAGACCCACCCAGCACACGAGGCGGCAACGAGGCGGCAACGGGCGGCAACATGGCGAAACCCCACTGGACCCGCCCAGCAAGGGCTCCCAACTTCGCGCTTCGCGCTGCGCGAAGCGCGAAGCGCGAATAACTTCGCGCTCTCGCGCCGCCCTCCCAAAGGGAGAATAGGAGGACGAGGAGGAGGAGGAGAAGGAACGAGGACCGCGAAGCGCGAAGCGCGAATAACTTCGCGCCCTCGAGGGAGCCCTTGGCCCAGCGGCACGGGGCGGCAACGAGGCGGCAGCCAGACGGGCAGGGCAGATCGGGCGGGCAGACCCTAGCGGGCGGGTGGGGAAGGCGGGCCCAGGCGGCCAGGTCGAGAAGGCGGGTTGCTGAAGCGCGAGTCCTGCATGAATCGCGATAGAAAAGCTAAAGCGAGAGCGCGATTCCTGCGTGTCGAGGGCGCAGCGCTTGAAAAAATCATGAAGAAACCCCATGCGTGAGAGCGATTCCTGCATAAATCGTGAGGAATTCCCACGCGAGAGCGCGATTTCGGAATACATCGCGAGGAATTAGTAAGCAAGAGACCTTGTTGTTGTAGCTGGGGGGGCTAGGGGGCACAGTTTGAGCACGAAGACTTTCCCTTAAAAAACAGGGTGCGAGTCCCCAGGAGAAAAGATTGAAACATCGTCAAACATCCCAACCCGAGCCCTGAACCACATCCTTCCACAGCATCTTTCGAGCCCGATCGAGCCTTGACATGGACCCGGAACGCAAAACTGGGCGAAAACTCGGTGGCGGCGAGAAAGGCGAATAGCCCAGGGGCGGGCATTATACATAGTCGCCCGGGAGCCTCGCCGAAGACAAAGATCATCGGCGCCCCTGGACCCAGAGATCCGATGTCGAATTTTTTCTTTAATACGGGGTCCTGGAAGCGTCGACACATTCCCCAGAACCGGTTTTCCATCCTGAGTCACTGTTTGACGGTCCCGCGGCCCAGCGAGGGCCCCCAGGGGCCGAAAATCGAGAAAAACCTGCGTCTTGATTTTTTCCATACGTTGAATTTCTGGGGATACGTGCATCGCTCCCTGGGCTATTCGCCCCTATCGGCGCCTCCGAACAAAACAAAATGCCCAGCTTGCAAGAGTCGCAACGCTCGAATCTCAAGGGCCCGGCGTGGCCCGCCTGGCCTCGTGGCGGAAGTGCCAGATGTTGGGCCAGCTGTGGAACTCACCGCCGATGCCGTGGCCGCAGAAGTCGCGCACGCTCGAGAAGCCTGGCGTCGGGTCGGGCATGTCCCCTGGCAGGCGTTTTTTCGACGAAAACTAAGAAACTGTCAAAACAAGTATCCCGGCAAAGCAACCTAACAGCGATGTGTAGGAGCATATCTGGAAGCATTCCCCTTAAGATTCAGATGAGAATCCAGTTGTAGAATTCTGCTGTTCTCCCAGTAGTCGCATTCGCGATGACAGTCGCAGTGGCAACGGCAGTCGCAGTCACAGCCTCAGCCTCAGCCTGCCTCAGCCTCAGCCTCAGCCTGCCTCAGCCTCAGCCTGCATGAGCCTCAGCCTCAGCCTGCTTCAGCCTCAGCCTCAGTCTGCCTTCAGCCTCGGCCTCAGCCTCAGCCTGCCTCAGCCTCACCCTGCATCAGCCTCAGCCTCAGCCTCAGCCTGCCTCAGCATCAGCCTGCCTCAGCCTCAGCCTCAGCCTGCCCCTGCCTCAGCCTCAGCCTGCTTCAACCTCAGCCTCAGACTGCCGTCGGCCTCGGCCTCAGCCTCAGCCTCCCTCAGCCTCAGCCTGCATCAGCCTCAGCCTCAGCCTCAGCCTGCCTCAGCTCAGCCTGCCTCAGCATCAGCCTCAGCCTCAGCCTCAGCCTCAGCCTCAGCCTCAGCCTCAGCCTGCCTCAGCCTCAGCCTCAGCCTGCTTCAGCCTCAGCCTCAGTCTGCCTTCAGCCTCGGCCTCAGCCTCAGCCTGCCTCAGCCTCAGCCTGCATCAGCCTCAGCCTCAGCCTCAGCCTGCCTCAGCATCAGCCTGCCTCAGCCTCAGCCTCAGCCTGCCTCAGCCTCAGCCTCAGCCTGCTTCAGCCTCAGCCTCAGTCTGCCTTCAGCCTCGGCCTCAGCCTCAGGCTGCCTTCAGCCTCAGCCTGCATCAGCCTCAGCCTCAGCCTCAGCCTGCCTCAGCCTCAGCCTGCCTCAGCCTCAGCCTCAGCCTCAGCCTCAGCCTGCTTCAGCCTCAGCCTCAGTCTGCCTTCAGCCTCGGCCTCAGCCTCAGCCTGCCTCAGCCTCAGCCTGCTCAGCCTCAGCCTCAGCCTCAGCCTGCCTCCATCAGCCTGCCTCAGCCTCAGCCTCAGCCTGCCTCCTCAGCCTCATCAGCCTCAGCAGTCTGCCTTCAGCCTCGGCCTCAGCCTCAGCCTGCCTCAGCCTCAGCCTGCTCAGCCTGCCTCAGCCTCAGCCTCAGCCTGCCTCAGCCTCAGCCTCAGCCTGCTTCAGCCTCAGCCTCAGTCTGCCTTCAGCCTCGGCCTCAGCCTCAGCCTGCCTCAGCCTCAGCCTGCCTCAGCCTCAGCCTCAGCCTCAGCCTCAGCCTCAGCCTCAGCCTCAGCCTCAGCCTGCCTCAGCCTCAGCCTCAGCCTGCTTCAGCCTCAGCCTCAGTCTGCCTTCAGCCTCGGCCTCAGCCTCAGCCTGCCTCAGCCTCAGCCTGCATCAGCCTCAGCCTCAGCCTCAGCCTGCCTCCTCAGCCTCAGCCTCAGCCCTCAGCCTCAGCCTCAGCCTTCAGCCTCAGCCTCAGTCTGCCTCAGCCTCGGCCTCAGCCTCAGCCTCAGCCTCAGCCTGCCTCAGCCTCAGCCTGCCTCAGCCTCAGCCTCAGCCTGCCCCAGCCTCAGCCTCAGCCTGCTTCAGCCTCAGCCTCAGTCTGCCTTCAGCCTCGGCCTCAGCCTCAGCCTGCCTCAGCCTCAGCATCAGCCTGCCCCAGCATTCAAAATGTGGCCCAGGAATGGAATTCTGGGAACTCGAAGAAGACGAAGTGGCCTACAGTTGGCTCCAGGCATTCAAAATCATGCTCAGGAATGGAATTCTGGGATCTCGAAGACCACGAAGTGGCCTACAGTTGGCTCCGGGCATTCAAAATCACGCCCAGGAATGAAGTTCGTTCTGGGAACTCGAAGACCACGAAGTGGCCTACAGTTGGCTCTGGGCATTGAAAATCATGCCCAGGAATGGAGTTCTGGGAACTCGAAGAACACGAAGTGGCCTACAGTTGGCTCCGGGCATTCAAAATCATACCCAGGAGTGGAGTTCTGGGAACTCGAAGACCACGAAGTGCGTTACTGTTGGTTAAAAAAGGAGTCCCCGGATTCCCGCGGCACCCGTCCGGCATCTGTCCGGCATCTGCCCGGACCCCCTCTGGGGAGTCATGATGCTCTCTTTTGGGACGACTAGAAATCTATCAGTCTTCGCTGTTAGGGAAAATCAAGAGTGGTCCAAAAGATAATCGGAAAATCGTCCCCATACTATCTTGGACTATTCTTGAAAAGATTCCTCCTGTCCAGGGATGGGCCCGACTTGCGCCTGGCGGCTTGCGCGGCGGAGGCGCGACGAGGTCCACGCGCGGCCGCCGACCCCTGCCAGGCGCACATCCTGGGCCCAGGAGCGGCGCGGACGCTCCGAAGGCACGCCCGAGGTCGGTCTCCGAGGACGTCTCGAGCGACGCCGAGATCGGGTCCGGGCCGAGCCACCCCGAGCGGCGAGCATGTCCGCGTCCGCGCCCTCCCGGTCTGGACCCCGGGCCCTCGCGTCCGCGCCCTCGCGGTCTGGACTCCGCGCCCTCGCGGTCTGGACTCCGAGCATGTCCGCGCCCTCGCGTCCGCGCCCTCGCGGGGGCGATCCTGCGGGCACGCGGTCGTGCGGAT